CAAGGGTTTCTCCCCTTATTATGGTCCACTTTTGTTATCGAAATAGGTTAAATTTTTCATGCATTTGATTAGCTGCTCTCTGAAGAAAGAAGCTCTGTAGTAATTTTTGGGTTAAATTTTTGTTCCAAGGCACTCAAACCACGGTACCGCTTTGACAGCGGCTTTATATGCAAGTTTTCGTCCATGAACAACCCAAACGTCGCCCCTTTCTTTCCAACATAAATCCTGGGTGAAGACGAAAAAGGAGCTTGATAAACGCGTCTGGTCCGCATCCGGATAAAATCTCAGGTATTTTATTCTTCACAGGACGCTTAACTTTTCCACGTCTCACAAAGTAGAAATCGAACATATATTCCTATGCGAAAATTTCCCGAATTCCTGTAGCTCATTGAGAGTCAACTTTGCATGCGGTTGATACTTGTCATTTATAGGTCTGTGGATTAGTTGTTGGGTGTTCAAGATACATTTGGAAGATTAGCTTGGTAATTTTAGAAAAAATGAATAAAATTCCATTATTAAGTCAAAGTTGATCAAGGTCAGGATTTTTTTTTCTTCTCAGAGCAGAAATATTGTGGTCAAACAAATTTTGTAAAGGTTACATCATATTTCTTCTTGGAATTGAGTTGAAAGATGTGAAGAGATGCTGTACTTGCTTGAGTACAGGTTGTGCCTCACACAATTCATCCCTAATCCATTGCCAGAATAGGGTCAAATTTTGAAGTGATTCTAATTGCAAAACAGCATCAATACAATGTTTTGCATCTCTTTGTCAGATTGAATTGCAGCTCAGAGGTTGAATTGCAAGTTGACCTCCCTGCAAATTTGACCTTAAAATTGCAGGATGTCAAATTGCAAAAATTGAAATTTTTGACTTGAAATTGTTTGAAAAAACATGTCCCTGTGTATGACACATTCGCAATTTTTCACTGTAAAAAATTATAATATTGTGGTAAAACTTATAATACTAAATATGCTAGACTCAAATAAGCTTTAACTGTTTTGGTTGTTTTTCATTTGCTTTCCCATCTGTCAATTGGGGCTGCCATCTAACGCTTAAAGCTGAGTTAGTTATTACTTAGGCATGAGATTGGGTATTTTTTTTTTTTTTAAAGTTCTGGTGGTTCTTTTGGCTCTTCATTATTCATGGTTTTCATAGCTTGAGGCATCATCCCTGTACCATTACTTAACCTGTCAAGAAGTGGAACAAAACCATCATAATCAAAACCAGACCTAATCAAAACAGCGGCAAAACCCCTTGCATAAGCAATTCCAAATACAAATGAAAACCAGTTGATGGCTTCATTTGCAAATCGTGGCTTCCATCATCAGGGTAGCTCCCATATACACTAGCAAATAGAAACGCAAATCGCTGCTTTCATGATGATTGACCTCCGGCCGAAAAGAGTACCCTTCATCATAAAATATTCATCGATAGGGCACGTGTTACCTAGACACCTTACACATGGGAAAAATAAAGTAAAAAAATAAAACGTGGGAGAAACGAGTTTTTCCAGACACATTACCATGAAGACGTCGGGACGAAAAAGTCTCTCTGAGAAAGCCGAGGGGGAAAAGCGACACTCAGCAAGTGTTCATGACGATTCGAGTTGTCGCAGCAAAAAGAATAGAGAAAACAAAAAAGAGATGATTTCTGGTACAAAGGAAAAAGGAAAAGGTTAAGAGATCCCAGCTGGGAACAATCCGGGTTCTGCGGAATATTTTTCTCAACGTTCCCCCTGAACCCCGACGTTTTCGAAACGGGTATTTCTATATTACCATCTCTCTCTCTCTCTTTGGCGTGAAGCTCATTAGCGGATCCACAACTTGAAAAAAAAAGAATAAAACCACCGCATGTGGAAGTGATATCACTTTCTGAACAAGTGCCATGGAGGAGATATATTAACCTTTAACCCCAGACGATCAGCGTTGCCAATGGCTGCGCTGGAACCAATTGATTCCTCGGTAAATCTCAGCTTGAACTGCAATGATCAGCCGAGAAACCCAAATTAGAGACAATTGATTGAACCTTGCATTTACGGTGTCACTGGAGGGCTTCTTGCTGTGCAAATTGGACTCAAGCTTGAACAACAACAAAAAGAAAGTAGAAAGACGAAAAATTGGACCTCAATCCATGCACGACAGTACAGAATAAAATTGCCATCAAAAAGAGGAATGCATCAGTTTTATCTTTAGCTTCAGATATTCATTGATTATCTGGAAACTTTATTAATATTGTACGTCCTCAAAATTTGAATGATGAGCGTTAATTTTAATTCAGCGCAGGGAATTTGAAAAGACACGTGAAAATAGAACAATCATTATACAAACCCTTTATACGTTTGCAACTTTTTTATTAGGTAAAAAAAAAATTAATGCAGTACCCGTGTTGAGTTTTCTAATGCAAATACAATTGTAGAATCTAAGCATTGAGTAAATTCCAACTGTACCATTTTTTAATACGATAGCTGAATTCGGTCTGGTTTTCAAGAGACATCAGTAAGTTGTTCTTCCATAGAATTACATCATCAACGTAAACTAATGGTTCCCTAAATTCAATTGCACAATACCATGAATTGAATGCCGCTTGATTTTTCTTCATTGCAGAAAAAAGAAAGGAAAACTAGTTAAGTTGAAAATATGCGTTTTGTCGGTTGCTTTTCTCCTTAATGAAATGCACCTATGGCCTGAATGATTCAAGGTCTACACTATATAGCTTACTGTACTTTTCTCACGTCATCCTTAAAAAATGAAATCGAGAAAAATAAAGTAAAATATTTCTCTTTGGAATTTGTCACCGGTAAATTAATCGGGTCATCCGTTGACATCGCTTACATAGCTCCGCGAAAAAATCTGGTAAATATCCAAATTCTGTCATAAGTATGTCATTGTTGATCGAAAAGGATAGAAATTTTCATTGAAGTGAATCCAATCATGAAAATCATTCTGGGGGATTTATTCCTTAATAAATTCTGTTTTGCAGAGCGAAAATTCTCTTGTGGTTTCGTAAAAAAAAGGAATGAATCCGTTGCAGGCAATAAAAAAAAACTTGCGCCTAATTATTCCAGGCAATAATAAAGCCTCATAGCAATATCAAGTCGTATACATAAAATTCTTTATTTTCTAAACTGTGCCGAAATCCAGTCCTTGATAATGCTGAATTTTAAAAGCACCGCAAAAATGCGCCTCACAAATTTTTTTCAGTGCCTGAACAATGTCATTGTTCCACATTTACCCTGCCTAAAATTTTGGTATTGTTTTAATCCTGAAAAGTTCGTTTCGCGGAAATTTTTTCACGTAAATCATTAACCTTCCTGTCAATTTTTCCCCTCAAACGAGAATATTCCCTGAAATGAATCATTGCATGGACTTGACCAATTAAAGTTGAATTAGAAAATTTTTGAATACCTGCCATGAAGTCCTCCAAATTAAACTGTCCTTCAAAATTTAATTCAAGAACCAATGAAGCAGCTATAGTGGAATGTCTTTAAAAATTAGAATGTGGACTTGCATAGAAGTTTCTTAGAATGACAAATTAAAATCATTTATTTTAGCCAGAGAAAATTTGTCAGAAATGCTGTTATAGGAGAAAAAACAACTTTGATTTTTTGTCAACTAATTTCAACTACCACTGTCATCCCAAAATGTCAGATGAAGATATTCAACATAATTGCTTTTGATAAATGCATCATGATGAAGAAAATTTCTTGTGGAATGGCAGAAAATTTTGGTAGACAAACGGTGCAGGTCCATGGACAATTATGATTGGGGAACACTGAATTATTACAGTGGGACCCCAATATGCAGATGTAATTTGGGCATATGAACCTTGTCCCTAATAAGTTGAAACATCTTCATGTTGGACCTCATTTTAGGATAGACTTCAAGGGGAATATTTTCAATTCGTTCTCCTGTAATTGAATAATTAAGAGAAAGTCCCCCCAGAAGTTAAAGAAAATAATTTTTCTCAGCTTCAGGATAAAGAAAATAAATTTACAGAAGAAAACCACGCAGAATCCAATCTTTTGGCATCAGAAGGAGCTCAAGAAGAAAACAACAATAACAAGTCTTGCTATACTGAAAAAAACTGGAAAAAGGCGGACAAAACTGTTTTTATTATGAATCAGGGTAATTTTATAATCAAATTTATTTTTAGCATTTTTAGATATAAATAGCTTGAGTTCTTCACAAAATGCAAAAATCTAGAATTTTTTTTGAATTTTCTAAGAAATCTCAGAAAAGTGTCCATATTTTGAGTCACTGTCCGGATGGCAGGGGCAGAGTTTCCCTCGTCTTAGTGTCCCCAGGTCAAATCGTATGTATGTCGGGCTGACCGTATATATTTCGGGGTCTTGCTGTATTTCTTCCGGATTGGAAACCATGTGAAAGCCTCTCAAGAAATGAGTCTCAAGAAGCAATTATGACCCGAAACCGGCCCTACAACCATTGACACGAAACCTAGCACAGAACACAGTTTTCCTAGAGCCATGAACTGCCAGTGGGAACGTCACGAACGCCTCGCAAGTGATACGCGTATTACTCCTAAATACAGTATATATTCAGGGGCTCATGTTGCTAACCCGGCGTTGCCAATTACGTCCAAGCAACGTGAACAGAATTTTTTTTTCATTTCCACTCGTTACCCCTTTTAGGCACCGAACAAAACAACATGGCCAGAAATGAAGAACGAAAATGAGAAGGTTAATGGTGCTCAAACGTCGCCCTTGCGTTGAAACATTAGGGCGGAGGAGCTCCATTATTCCGCGTACTGTGGAGTCAACATTTCCCTGGGTTTATGAGCCGAGTGACGTAAATCAGGATAAGTAATGAACACCGCATAGGTCAGACAAAAATTATGCACTGCACTGGAACTTCTCGAACATTTTCTGCCTGCGAGTCTCTGGAAAAGAAATACGCGACACTGACCCCGGACGACGAAAACTCGGCCGTAATTTTCCAAACAACTCCACGAGGTGTCGCTTGTATGAACTTGACGACTCTAGTTCGGATTCCATCAAGAATTTATTCCTCTGCCCAACAGTTGCTACATCACATGAAATGGCCTTAAAATTTGATCAAGAATTAAGGTAATGTACAATCAATCACAAAATAATGAATCACTTTTCGTAAGAATTAACCAGCCAAAGAATCACAAACGGCCCTGATCCAGATGGCGACAGCTTTTGCGCCAGGATCAGGACCATGGAAATTTTCCACAGCCACGTAAGCAGCTCTGCCAGCTCTCGCTTTCATGGTGATAGTGGCCTCAGCTCCCATTTCAGCAGCCACAGCAGCTTCCTCAAGCAAACTTGTCCATTTTCCTGGTTTTGCATTTTGCAGAACATTCTTTACTGGGTCCAGGGCGTCGATCTGAGGTTGAAATTTTTGCAGATAAAAACTCAAGTCTCACGGAGCACTTCAATTCATAGTGTTATGGATAAACCTAATGCCTTCAAGGTGCAAAGTTTAAACGCATTGTAAAATAATTAAAAATTGAAAAGGATAGTTTATTTATTTTTTTTAGACCAAGAGCTTATTGTGCTCAGATATTTTCAATAAAACGAAGCAAAGCAACGCCATTTTTCAACGAAGACAAACTGCGGATCGCAAATTAAAACATTTGTTGGCTTCAAGCCGGAAATTTGTAAAAAAAAAAGCTTCAAAATCTGAAAATATAATATTTTAACGCAAATTAGGCATATTCTATCAAATCTCAACACATGCAGGTTGATCATTCAAAAGTTTTCAAGTACTTTAAAAGCAACTGCGGATCACAAAAAATTTTTAGACCAAAATGCGTAAAATTGAAAAAAATATAATCTAGAAATAGTACGTAAAAACGCATATGCATCACTTTAAAAAAAAGCAAATCTTGATACAGTGCACAATGAAACCAGTACTTCCTTTTGATGATCATAGCACCTCAATCGATTAAATGGATCAATGAGCGTTTAATGATGAGTCCGTATATAAGATCACTTGGCTTCGAGGCTTCAATTTTGATTTTTGATTCGAAAATTTTATGTTATATCTTTTACCTATTTTCCACACCAATCCAAAATCTTCACCATCTTCTGTCAGCGTTTAACTACCCCTTATACAGTTAAAACCTTGATAATTCCAACCTCTTCAAGTCGAATTCCCCAAGAATTTGTCAAATTTTTGTCAAGTCCCTATTTGAATTTCCTTAGAAACAAAGATATAAAACACCCCCAACTCGAAAGCTTTCCCCCTCAAAACCTGAACAACTCGAATTTTCTGGATGCCTTTTCTCTATTACAGTATTTTATTGACCCAGAAAAGAGAAAAAAATAAAACTATAACTTGATGCATTTTGAAAGGTAGTGAAAGACCATTTGGTGCAAATGCACCCTTGCCTCCAATAAGTTCAGCATCCTGTCGAACACTCATTCATGAAGCAATTTCAAACCCAGAATATCCTCAATTACAATTTCCTGTAACTCACCTTCCTGGTTTCTCCACCAAAAAAAAAAAATTCTTGTCTCCCTGACTGGAAACCCAACTCTGATTTTTTTTTCTCCTGCTGTTCCCCTGAATAACTATTCGACTTGAAAGAGGTTTGACTATACTATACACAGAACATATACACAAGCTTTCGTGCTGAAATCTCCTCGCATTTCCCAGCAATAAAGTAACCACAAAAAATAAAAAGAAAAAGAAAAGGAATGCTCGCCGATCAACGGGATTAACTCTGACCCCCGCCGTTCTCCCGTATCGAAAGCCCAGAGAGTCGCAGCAATTATCCCAGATTGCTCCCATCGCATCAAAAAA